GGCCGGCGCGCCCGCGCCCCTGGCCCCCGCCGTGGCCGTGTCGGTGGCCCCCGCGCCGCTGCCGCTGCTGGACCCCGGCACGAGCCCCCCGCCGCCGCCCCGGCCGTCGGCCCCCGACGTGTTCGCGGGCTTCGCGCCCCACCCCGCGGCCCTGGGCCCCCCGACGCTGCTGGCCGAGCAGATGAGCGTGATCGGCAGCCGCAAGAAGAGCGTCAACATGACGGAGTGCGTCCCGGTGCCCAGCTCCGAGCACGTCGCCGAGATCGTGGGTCGCCAGGGTGAGTGGCCCCGGTCCGGGGCTGTGTCCGGGGGGAGGGGGGTCCCCGGCCGGGAAGGGGGTCGCCCGAGCCCAGCCCAGCCCGCGCCAGACGCCCCGCACTGGACACGCCCCGCGTGGGCTCTGGCCTCGGCGGCTGGCTGTGCGCCTTTGTCCTGCAGCGGTCGCGGGAGAAAGTTGGGCGCAGCCCGCGCTCCTCCCCTGCCCGCTCCGGTCCCGCCGCCGCCTTTGTCTGGGCCGCCTCCGGCCCGGAAAGGCTCCCGGGAGCCGCGCCGCACCCCAGGCTCTCGGCCGCCCGCAGGGGCACCCCAGAGAGGGGTGGGTGGGCGCCCCACACCCAGCACAGGCGCGGGGCGGGGCGGGGCACGCGCAGGTTTAGAGGTGGTCAAGGGGGGCCGCCGGCGGGGCCGGGAGGGAAGGCTGACAGTACACAGCGCGCGGGTCTGAGTCCCCAGCCTGGGGCCCTGACCGGGGTGGGGATGGGCCGGGCCGGGCCGGAGAGGGTCCCTGCCCACTCTCCAGCCCCGAGTCGGGGATCTGGGGGCGGGCCTGTGGAAGGACCGGCTGTCAAAGCCACTTCTGGGGTGCAGCCCCGCGGCCCTCCTGGGCAGGCGGGCGGGCGGCAGACCCGGGCGTGGGGTCCGGCGGTGGCATCGTCGGAGCTTCCCTCTGGCCGCCCCATTGTTCTCTTTGTTAGAGAGCTAGGCTGAGATTTGCAGGGTGACATCAGGCCGGCCGCTGCTCATTGGCCCCCGAGCTGCGGGGCGGGCAGGCGGGTGGGTGGTGGGCAGTGCCTGGCCCAGCACACACCCACCACCCCTTTGGCCGCCCACCTGCCCCCCTCAACTTTCTCCTGCCTTCCCGCCACCCCTCCCTGCTCCTGGCTCCCCGCTGACCGCCATCAATTAACCAGGTTCTAGAACTTGGGGTGGGGCCTTGGCGTGGCTGGAGGTGGGGCCACAGGACACTTGGGCCAGGGGTCCCCGCCTCCCCCCCCACCATGGCCCTCAGGAACCCGGGCTAGAGAAAGGTGTGGGGGCTGGGGTTGCAAGGTTACCTATGGCCCTGGACACAGGGGAGGACCACCAGGATGCCCTCTCCTCCACACCTTCCCTTTTCCCAGGTGGGTGGGGCAGCAGGGCCTCCTGTCTTTTGATCGGTCATTTGTCCGGCCCAGGGGGGTCCAGCTCAGGTGGGGATGCACAGAGGGCCGGGCATGGTGCTAGGCCCGGGAAGCACACTCCGGAGTGGTGGGTGGGGAGGGACGCTCTCAGCCCTGCCTGCTGCCCTCAGTGGGACCTCGGGCTGGAGGGCTTCCCTACTGTCGCGTTTCTGCCTCCCCATTGAGGCCCTCCACCCGGCCTCCATGTCCCGTAACAGCACCAGGGCCTGGAACAGGACAGCTGCCCTGTGCGGAGTGCCCAGGGGCCTGTGGAGACAGATGTCCAAGCCCAGGCCTGGGGACCTGAAGGCAGCAGGCTGAGCTGCCAGGTGGTGGAGAGTGTGGCTGTGTTGTGTGAACACGCGTGTCCTGGCACCTCTGAGAGAGTCTGGAGTCAGGCTGAGGGCTCATGGGACCTGTGGCCTCAGGGTGGGAATTCTCTAGGGGCAGGTCCTTGGGAGATGAGTCCCCCACATCCGCATGCGCGTTCCACACTGGCTTACTGGGCTCTTGCTGGTGGTGGTCAGCAAGGCGGGCACTGGACACAGTGGGGGTGGGGTTAGAGTGGGCCCTGACTGCTGGCCCTGCCCAGATGACACCTCCTCTCTGGTGTGCGTTCGTCACCTCTGTCGGGGTTGAGGATTCTGGGGCAAGACGCTGGTTTTATTTCTGTATTTTTTATTTTTAAAACTTCTTGTAGAGACACGTCTCGCTCTGTTGCCCAGGCTGGTCTTGAACTCCTGGCCTAAAGCGATTCTCCCACTTCAGCCTCCCTGAGTGCTGGGGTTACAGGTGTGGGCCACCATGCTTGGACCCAAGTTGCTGGTTTTAATCCCAGCTCAGGGTCACACACAGCAGCCACCCCGTAAGTGGAGTGCAGGGTGCCAGGGATGTGACCGTGAATGCCGGGGAGGTTGGCAGCTTCAGTGCTCTGTGCATCTCCCATACTCTAGAACCGTCTGTGGCTCCCAGCTTCTCCCAGCCACCCAATTCTCAAGCATACCGTTCAGTGCCCTTTGTACCCCAAGCCTGCCGCTTCACTCCCCTTCCTCTCCACCCTGGGTCTCTGAACTTCTCATTATTCTCTGTCAGACCCAAGCTCAGAGGCTGCCCGTTCCCTGGAGGGCAGGAAGGTGCATCTGCCCAGCCTCCCCACCTAGCCTGGAGTCACAGGCCTGGCGCCAGTCCTGTCCCCGGTAGCCACGTGCTGCTCTCTGAGCCTCAGTTCCTTGAGTGGGTCCAAGTGCTTTCTGGGCAGACCCTGGTCATTCACACCCATCCACCTGCTGGAGGCTCCAGTTCACTCATCTGCTGGATCTTCACTGAATGCCTGCTGTGTGCCGAACCTGCACCAGACTGGACCTGCCCCGTCTCCCGGAGGCCTGGCCTGTGCCTGCAGTGTGGTCCTGCAGCTCCCAGGCCACAGACGGGGAGGCAGAGGCTGCAGGAGGGGACGGGTAGGTTAGACCTGAGGGGCTGAGGCAGGAGGATCCCTTGAGCCCAGGCATTGAAACCAGCCTGGCCCACATGGCAAACCCCGTCTCTATCAAAAAATATAAAAATTATCAGGCTTGGCGGCAGGCTCCTGGGGCCTCAGGTACTTAGGAGGCTGAGGCAGGAGGATTACTTGAGCCTGGGAGGTTGAGGCCGCAGCAAGCTGTGATGACATCACTGCACTCCAGCGTGGGCCACAGAGCAGGACCCTGTCTCCAGAACAAAACAAACTCAGGCTGGGATTCCAACCCATGTTTCTCTGGTGGGTCAGTGGAGAAAATTTCAGATTCCAAAGCTCAAGAGCTGGGGGTGGAGCAGGGCACCCCGGCTTTGGAGACAGAGTGGAGACCCCAGAGGATGGAGGACAGGCGTCTCCCTCCAGCCGGCCAGCAAAGGCCCTCTGGGGGACCTCGGGCCCTGCTCCTGCTGAGACCCCAACATGTACCCTCCTTTCTTGCCCAACATGCCGGGACCCTGGGGAGATCTGTGCTCCGTGGATGCTTTCCCGCCCACTTGCCGGGACCCTGGGTGGGTCTGTGCTCCGTGGACGTTTCCCCGCCCACTTGCCGGGACCCTGGGTGG